CTCGTGATCCTAAGGAGAATTCCGGTCGCATTTCCATAAAGACAGATTTGTTTGTTCTTTTGACAGTCCATGCATCAGTCAGTACTCTTCACAGCACTACAGTCCTGTTTCTGTCTTTATCCATCGTCAAACTTCCAGATGCATAGGAAGCCACTAAAAAGGCATGGATTGGATCAGGTGCACCTTAGTCTTTAAACTGACATTTTTGCTCTTCAGAAGTTTGGAGAAGGTCCTTGACAATAGATTTCCCCAATGAAAAGAAAAATCTTTAGATTTCTTGCTGCCGCTACTATGGGTATTGATTGTGGATGCAAGTAAAGTGAAAGTGTCGACAATGCCCATATTTTCCTTATCTTGATGCTGCCTTTTGGTCCAGTGTTGCTGATCTTTTCCTTGATGTTGAGATGTAACTCACTGATCTTCTGCTGCAAGTGCTTCAAGTGATCTTCATTTTCTGTAAGCAAGGTTGTGTCATCTGCTTAACACAGTTTGTAGATAAGTTTTCCTCTGATCTTGATGCCACATTCTTCTTCATACAGTGTAGCTTCTTGAATGATTGGAAATCATTAACTCAACAGCAGGGGTAAACATTACAATGATATACAACGTAGCCTGCTTTTAGATTGTATCTCAACAGAATCAGAACCCTCTGCTCTTTGGTTGAGCCTGATCTACCCTGACACAGATAGCCGAGATTACAGTTTCCACATTACATGACTAACACATGCATTCATCTTGTGGATCAAGACTTCATCGCTTTTGTTTCTGGCTGCTCTAAAAATGAAACGCTGCTTCCTCCCATGCCGCCCCGCGATCAGTGTGGGCTGGACTGCTGAGGTCCAGTGTGGGCTGGGTTGTTAAGATCTTAGGGTTTTCACGCTCATATATGGAAGTACATCACCAGGCCTTTCTTCCTCATCTGTCTGAGGCTGGAAGCTCCTCGGGGACTTGTTCAGCATCACACCATTCTCCACTGGCAGGGAGGTGGTGGCTGCACATGCGATGAGGTGCGCTCTTGGGAATGGGACCATCATTGCTCTGAGGCCAGGGCACTTTCACCACCGTTTTTCCCAGTGTCATCAGGAAGAGAAGATGCAGTCGGCCCAGGGACCTGGGTTAGGCACACTCCCCTCCTGTCGGTTCAGGATGGAAGGGCCATATATTCTCATCGAGGCAGTCAGCCAGAGAGGGGGCAGGGACAAACTGGAGCGGTCCTCTGAGTTGGAGAGGTTAGAATTAGGGGCTGTTTGGTTAGATAAAGTTGTAGGGCTAGAAGTCAGGGATCACTCAAAGACGTCTCCGTCTCCCAGGTCCCCAGGCTGGGCCCATAGTCCTTGCATTTGTCCATCTGGAAGCAGCACCTCTCTGAAGGGGCTTCCTTGTTTGTTTGAGGCCATTCAGTTTAGGGGGCCAAGGGGAAGGCAGAGCAGGTGGTGACCCATTCATTCTGGCCTCCCCCTGCTGGCAGGAAGGGCAATGGGCACTTAGTGTGTGCTTTCGTGAGATCAGCAATCAGACAGACGGGAGGAGGGGAGGATGGTGCTTACCAGGTTCTAGATGAGGTTCAGGGACCTAGGCTGCTGGAGGAGGAAGAGCGGGAGTCAGGTTCAGCAGGTGAATTCACCTGGACCCAGGCGGTGGAGATGGGGGAAAAGCCAGGCTCCGCTGCACGGCCCTACCTGGGCAGTGTGTGAGAGGGCACAGGAGACATTATGGAGCGGTGTGTGAGAGGCAGGTGCCCACAGTGGGGCTGTGTGAGACGTCAGGAGCCCACGGCCATGGGAGACCACTGTGCATCACAGCCCAGATGGCTTCCTGGGACAGTCACAGGTGTGGGAGCAGAGCAGCTTGGCCCTCACCCCCCAGGTGAGCCTCGCACCTGGCCCAATGCAGGTAAGCTGGCCCAGCCGGTTAGCCTGGGAGGGGTGGCAGGCCAACTCCACCCTGAGCTGTGGAGGCCAGGTGTGGTCACCAAGCCGGTTAGGAGTGAGGTTACTGGTTCTGATGGGTGTGAGCCCCACTTGCTGGACCTTGGCTTGGGCTGGAGTCTCCCCCCCTTCACTGGGTTCAGCCCCTCCCAGTCATTCCAGCTCAGTTCAGAACACAATAGTTCAACACACAACAGAGATTGGCACAAGAGAGAGGCAGGAGGGGCGCCTGGATCACGTGAGAAACACACAACACACACGAGAGAGGCAGGAGGGGCGCCTGGATCACGTGAGAAACCACACCTGGTGAGGGACGCAGGCAGCACTGGTGTGGTCGCCAGGCAGCATGGTCCAGTCTGACCCGCAGAGACCCTGCAGGGTGGGAGAGCTGCCCCCGGGGTGTCCAAGGCTGCCTCATCTCCACGGAGCAGCTGGTGGATTTAAACCTGACCTTTCAGAAGCATCGGAGCACTCACATGTCGCATCACCATTGTGGACATGTACCATCGAGATGGAACTGACTCACAGGTGAACGAACCTCAGCGGGTTTTCAGACAGTTAATCACATGGGAGGAGAAGGCTGAGGAGCAGCTGGCAGATTTGAACTGCCGCCTTCTGGGTTGGCGGCGAGGCTCCTTACCACTTGGCCATCAGGGCTTCCGATGTAGTTGTCCTGTCCAATATAAGACCTGCCTTCCGTATTTCAGCCCTGGCTCAGCCTCAGTGCAGCCTGGCTCCTCCCTTGGACCCGTCTGTAGCTGCCAGCGACCATGGAAGGCACTCCCGCACCCGAGAATGCTACCAGGCAGTAAACCCATCCAGCAGCACCACTACGATCCTTGGTGTCTCCTCATCCCCAGATGATAGTAACAGAGGGAGGGAGCTCTGGTGGCCTAGCGGCAAGAAGCTGCACGGCAATCCCAGAGGTGTGCGGTTCGAATCCACCAGATGCTCTACTGGAGGACGGGCAATTTCCTCCGGGACCAGTTGGATCTGATTTTACAGTACACACACACACACAAAATAATAAAATGAAAATCATAACAAATGTAAATAACAAGAGTGCTTCTAGACAAACCAAAGACATTCATCGTGATGGCACCCCTGTGCATGTGTCAGGTCAAGGTTTTCAGAGGCTGAGTCTCTGCCAGGCCTTTCCTCCTTTCCTGGGTGGACTAGAACCACCAACCATGGGCAGCAGCTGGGCTTGCTCACAGGCTGGACCACCCTGGGTGCTTTGTAGATCTCCAAATTTGCTGGAAAGTGAGAAAAAACGAGCTGCTGTGGTCGGGTCTGGCTCACAGGTTTCATGAACCTTCACCAAGTTTCTGTGGCTTTAAATCTTAACAGGAGGAAGGAGACTGCTCAGCCTTCTCCCTCAGGGGACCTCGTGGATTTGAACCACTGACCTTGTAAGTATCTGTACAATGTGCTCACTATTCATATCATAGTCCTGGTGCACTAACCTTTTTTTTTTTAATTCTTATTTTATTAATTGTCACAAACATTTACAGACTTTGGATTTCCATTCATTCGTTGTTGTACTTTTCTCCCTGCCCCTCCCCCCAGTTCACTCTTCTCTTTGAAAAGTGAAAGAAAAATTCCTTCTTTGGTAACAATCCCCCTGCCCTAACGTTTTAGTGCAGCTAGAAAACAGAACAGCACAGAGTCGTAAGGAATGTTAATGAACGTGTGTATTTATTCACTTGAATGTATTAAGTAGGCAATTCAATATGAAATAAGTTAGAAAAGAAAATACAATCCCCAAGTATTAAAAGTGGTCATTTTGGGGCAGTATGAAAATACATATATAATAGCACTGAGTAAACACAATCAACCTAAGGTGTTTAAATACAGGTTTCCAGGCCTGACTCTTGGAGGTTCTCGTTCAGGTTCCCCCACCAAACCCCCACGCAGCCTGGTCCATCCACGCTTTCTGGCCTTGGAGCCCCTCAAATCATTCTGACCTACAGAATGGACATGCCGAATGCTGGATGCACCTTTGAGGGGACAGTTAAAGACTCCAGGTAAGAACTGGGAACCTTATTTTCTTCCTCTTTATACTTGCTATTAGAGAGACCCTCACTCCCAGCTTCTTACAGGCTAACAACTTCAGACAGGTGGCAAAAGCCAGGCCAGGGCTCACAGCCTCCCTGCAGGTCCACACTCTGTGTCCATCTCAGCTTTAAGAAGTCATGCTGCCCGAGCCCAAGATGCTGCCCCAAAGCTCTAAGCCAGCGACTAGAGTCCTTTCCATATGCCCCACCCTGCCCTGCCTCTGGACAAGACAGTATAATTCCAAGAATTCGACAATGTGCTGAGATGAGTTCTCTGTGGCACCGAGGAATAGATTTTAGGAGAACTCTCATCTTCCTGAGTGTCCCTCGATGGTCATGGTCGGCTGGGGGCGGGGGGAGATGGCTCTGTGGTTCCAGAGGGGGAGTCAGATATTGGCCCCACGGGGCTGGGCGTCTGTGCAGGACGGTGAATGTATGTGGCCACCAGGAGGCGCTGCAGGCAGGTCAGAAGAGCTGGTTCCTCCAGGTGCAGAGCCCTGGGCTGCCCTGCTCCAAGAGGCCTGGGGTGCTGGGATCCCCAGCCCTACCTCCTCTCCCTGGAACTCCGCATCTGTCCTGAGAGTGGGGGTTCCTGGGGTTCTACACACTGGTGGGCCCCCTCCTCCAGGCTTTCTGTGAGCCAGGGGGCAGGATGGGCAGGCAGAGAGAGGGCAGGACAGAGCCGCTCAGCAGGAAATCAAGAGGAAAACCCACACACTTTGCTTGTTTTTTAATGTTGAAGATTAAAAACCCGAAACTCCAAATCCCTGCACCCAGCCCATCCACATGACCTCCAGCCCCTGTCCATCTCGGGCCCCCTCTCCAGTGCCATCCACAAGCTTCCAGGGCTGCTCGCTGGTCCTGGGACCAGGAAGGTTTTAGCCCACGTGGCTCTGACTCCACAGACCTTTCACTCCAGGTCTCAGGCATCCGAGGCCCCCACCTTCCGGAAAGGCCACGCATGCCTTAAAGCATGTGGTCACTCTGGATGCTTCCTCGGGAGGCCAGATGGAGGCTACTTCTTGTGGAGAAACTTCATCTTATTGCCTGAAAGAGAAAAAGAGGCAGATTCCACCAAGTCAGGAAAGAGAAGGCACATAACCTGAGTCCTCTCTACGCCCGCAGAGGAGATGCCTCAAGTCCCAGACCCCAAACTCAGGCCAGGCTCTGGAGTTGAGCTCACACTTGCGGGAGGTGAAGGCTGGCCCGTGAAATAAAGGCATGGGCACAGGGTGTAGGCTGGTCTCTGAGGGGCCAGGCAGGGTGGACAGAGGCCCCCCAGCATCTGTGGCCCTGTACCTCTTCCTCACTGGCACCACTCCCCAGCCCCCTCCTGGCCTCCTCTTCAGCACCCTGCCCTGGATAGTTCTGAGAGAACTGTGTCCAGAGGGCTTGGACTATGCTGGTGACAGACCGGCAGCCTTACCCAGTCCCTTCAGGAACCGATTGACACCGCAATGCTCGCCGCTGGGGAGCGTCTCCAAGTACTCCTGGGCTCGGACCTCAAAGAGACCTGCAGACGAGAGGAGCTTGTGGTAGTCAGAACGGTGACAACGTGGCTGTGGTACCTGTGTGACTTAACTGTCCTGTGCAGGGTAGACGCCAGCCTCTCAATGCTACTGAGGCAGGAGTGGACGTGGTTCTGTGAGGACATGTCCAACTGGATCTGATGTGAGGGGCGTCCCCCCAGGAGTGTGGCCTGCCCCAAGTGGGCCTGACAGTTAGGTGAAGCTGGCGGCCTGCTAACTTGAACTTGCCCGCCTCTGAAGGCTGCGGGCTTGAAGCCAGCAGTCTGCCACCCTGTCTGCCGGTGACGTGGACTCACTAGCTTCCTCAGACATCTCCTTCATAGGGCTGACGCACAGACGTGGGGTCCACTGACATCTACAAGCACAGGACCGATTTCCTGGGCTAGATCTCAATCAGCGTCACTATTGTGCTTCTCTGGAGAGGCACCCTCCACGCTAGGACGGAACCCTGGCAGCGCAGGGCCTTCTCTGCTTCTGGGGGTGTCCACCTCTTGCTTTGCTTGAGGACTGGGCTGATAAAGGGCTTATGGCCCTATGACCATGTACTGTCACAGGGAGGCAGGGTCATATATGACGTCGTTCTCAGACGACAGCACCCACACACATCTGCCTGTCTTATGCACAAACCCTCGGCCCTGGCTCCTGGCTCTCAGGGAGCTGTCAGCTCGCCTTCCTCTTGGACAGGCCAGCATGCACTGGTCATCACTTGGGGCTGGGCAGTTACTCCTGGAGTCCTTCAGCTCTAAGTCCCTGACTGACATCTGGGGACTGAGGGGTCCCTATGTGTCCTCTTCCTGCTTTCCTGCCTCCCACCCTCCACCGGACCACTGGTAGCTGCCCTTCAGCCAGCCTCTAACTCCAGGCCAGCCCAGGCCAACGAGGGGCTGGAGGTCAGGATGCTGTGGCCTGTGGAGCTGTGACTGGCTCGTTCTCAGAGGGAGACCGCTGGGCAGCTCGTGTTAAGTATGGAACCTGTTCAGCATCATGTGAGCCTCTGTGGACAGACAGGGGGTGACTGTGTACAAGGTGCACTGACCAGGACTGAGACCCATCCAGCCTTTGCCTGCTGCACCAGTGACTTCTCCACCTGTCGGTGGGCATTCCAGGGCCTGCAGGCCTCTCGTGGGTGTGCGGGTCACTCTCTCACGTCCTGACAGGACAGTAGGGACATCTAAGGCTGGCACTCTGTCTCTACTTTGCAAAGGGTTCTGGGAATGCAGTGCTCCAGGCTTCTCCCTTTGACTGTTCCAGCACCAGAGCACGCAGCTTGGGCCCGGGCCCCACTGGGAGTCCCGTCAGACCCTTTTCTGCACAGTGACTCCTCAGAGATCTACCAGCCTGTCATTAACTGTGGGAAGCCTAATATCAAATTTAATATTAATAATAAACCAAATGCTGTATCAGGATACGAGGGAGGCGTAACACAAGCTGGAGTTCACCCTGTGACACTAAGGCAATCCTTAAAAGAGTTGGCATAATTCTTAGCTGGATTTACAGAATCCCTCCCTCCTGAGACAAGCATAAGGTAAACTACAGAGAAGAACTCTATTTATTTATTAAGCCTTATTTATAAGACTTCTTCCCCATAATCCTTTGTTTTTGTTTACTATTCCCTTGTTTACTTTCTGGTGATTCTCAATAAAACCCCAGAAAGGTGCAGCAAAGGGGCTGCAGTTCTCCTAGCTGTTAGGTCCCTGCCTTCACGCTTTCTGGCCTGACCCCCATTCCTGTGTGTCCCTGTCTCTGACTTTTCCTTCAGCCGACAATTAACCTCCACCAGAGAAGTAGAAGTGCTTCTCCCCTGATCCCCACCCTCTACCCCCACTCTGAGGAAGGGCAGTGGGACAGAATGAGGGGGGAGGGGAAGGGGAACAACAAGGGAGCAGACGTGGTCACTCAGTGTCCATACCATGGTCCCAGACAGCACCTTCTGCAGAGGCCCTCACCAACACCCCTCGGCCCCGGCTTGGCCCCCCTCACCTAGGTGGTCTTCACTGCAGGGCATCCTCCCCTGCCCAGGGCTTGCGTTTGACAATGCTCACCCGACACAGCCCTCACCCCTGGGCGTCCTCAGCCCTGCCCCCGGCCCTCACCCCTGGCCACCCTCAGCCCCCCTCCCCAGGTCCTCACCCTCATCCCTGAACGTCCCCAGCCCCGTGGCCCTCGCCTCCAGCCGTCCTTGGTGCCCCCCAGCCCTCACCCTTGGTGTCCTGCCGGCGCAGTGCGCGCTCCTGCATGAAGCCACGGAACGTCTGGGTCTCCATGAAGACCTCGAGGAAGCGGCGCAGGCTCCGGGAGGACACGGCCTTGCGGAAGGCCTCGCGCTGCAGCGTCCGCTCCTCACGCTCCCCGGGCATCAGGAACAGCGAGTAGTGGCCCACGATCTCCACGAAGAAGCGCACGAAGGCCTCGGACACCACGACGCTCAGGGGGCTGCACTCAGGACCTGGTGGGGGCACGACCCGGTGAGGGCAAACCCAGCGAGGATGTTACTGGAGGACTGAGTGGGGCGGGGCCTGGGGCAGCAGGGATGAGTGGTAAGGGTGGGCGAGGAGGTAAGCAGGTGGGGAGCTGGTGGCAGGGGCTGGGCCAGGAGGGGAGGGTGGAGCCCGGGAAGGTGGGATGGGGAGTGCAGGGCCTAGAATGGGCCTTGAATCTAAGGAGACCTAAGGTGGGCAGTTCAGATTGGGGCAGGGCAGGGCCCCAGGACAGCTGAGTTGGGGTCCTGGAGTCTCCAGAGGGTCTGGAAAGTTCTGAGCCTGAGTAGAAGAGGTCAGACAGGGTTGGCCTGAGCGTGTGGGCAGAGCCCGGCTTTGAGGGTGGGGTCTGGGCAGTTGAGACCCCCGTGGGTGTGGGGTGTGGACCCCTGTACGTACTTATGCGGAGCGAGCCTCCGGGTCCAGACAGTGAGTGTGAAAGGGAGCATCATGTCTGTGTGATGCATGTCACCACCCTGGGAAAGGCCACCCTGGTACGAAGTGGTCTCCCCCTAAACGTGTATCCCTGGGCCGAAGCCGGGTGCAGGGGCCTGCGTACACTCACCAGGCCTGTCTGGGGGCCCCTCCTCCGGCTCGCCGGCCAGCTCGGTCCTCTGCTCCAGAACCTGCTCCAGGGCCGCCTGCAGCTTGCGGGGCAGGATCGAGTCTTCGTCGTCCATCTGGGAGGCAGGGAAGGGGCTGCTCACCTCCTGTCTGACCGGACGAGGCTGCCCCAGAGGCGGCTTGGCCATAGTCAGGTGGACCGACCCTACCTACCAGCCTCTGCCTGGTGCTCGGGAACGTCTCCCCACCCCAACGGGGCTGGGGCCAGCAGGGCCCTAAGTGGGTCCTCCAGCCCAGAGGGGGCCAGGCGGGGGAGTGGGGGGCACCAGGTGATCAATACCCACGTTTCTGAGCTGCTCAGAAAGCAGGAGGGAACGTTCTGTCCAACAGAGCGTGGAGTTAGGCCTCTGGCAAATGATGAAGAAATAAGAGGCTCGTCTTTGAGGAGGGAGTCACTCCTGGTTGTGACGGAAATTTCTTGTCACCCATCCCTGTCGGCCTCCCAGCCCACAATAACCTGCCCTCACATCTCACTCTCATTAACATGCACCCGAAACCAAGCTGGCCGCCACGGAGCCACTTCCATCGCAGCCCCTGCACAGAGCGAGCGGCCTCATCTGCTCGCACGGTCAGGGCCTGGGTCCACGTTCCGGTCAGCAGCTGAGCTGTGCCTTAACCTCTGTACCGCTAGGGCGCCGATTAAGATGGGGACACACACACACACACACACACGCTCTGATGGACACTGATGACTGGGTGCTAAGGAACTGTGCTCTCATCCCAAAGACAAGTGGTTCAAATCCACCAGCTGCTCTGTGGGAGAAGGATGGGCAACCTCCTCCCATGCAATTAACAGCTTTTTTGAAAACCCGCTGGCGGGTCAGCTATGAGCTGGTTCCAACTCAACGGTACAGAACCACCAGCACAATGAGGGAGTTCTGGATAGGGAGACACACAGCGAACCCAAAGAAGCAAGGTTCTAGCCCACCCACTGCTCTACGAACAGATGAGGTCTCCTGCCGAGTTACAGCCTCGGAAAGTCCGCTGGAGCTTCAGCTGAGCTGGTTCCAGACCGACAACAAATAATTTCTTTCTAAAAAAATCCCAGATCAGCAAAATAACCGCATCCATCTTGGTTTTTTCATGATGACTATTTTAATATGTATCACTGTGTATCACACAATGAGACAAGGTCTGTGGTCAGCACTCAGGCCGAGGCTGTCACTGTTGGTGGTAAGTGACAGAACCTCCTCTCTCTGTCCACACCCAGCCCAGGTCTGCACCTCGGCCCCAGCCTGTCCCCACCCTCCCAGGGCACACGGCTGAGCCCCACAGGAAAAGGGCCACAGGAGACACAAACTCACCTGCCTGAGGAACCTGTTGTTGTCGAGGTCAACCACGAGGACCTACCAAGGACGGGGACAATGTCATTGTCATCACTGCCTTGGGGATATGGCGGTGGACCCCCCACCCTCCATCTGGCATGCAAAGACACAGTGGGGGTGCCGGGGAAGTGGGGCAGGGCTGTCCTGGCACCACGGGCCGTGAGCCGACTTCCAGCTTCAGTGCTGGGGCTGCAGAGGTGGAGACCCTCCCCTCCACTCCCACCCGGCTATCCATTCCACCTCGTCACTTCTCACTGTGGAAAAGAGGGGCCGGGGCCCCTGACTCCCAGTGCAACACAGGGGGTGTAGAGGGGTGGAGTTTAGCTGGAGCAGGAGCCATGCTGGGGGCAGTGGGCTCATTCTGGGTGAGCTGCCTCCCTCGAGTAGGGCTGAGTCTTGGGGCCAGAACCGAGTGGACAAGTGAGGCCCTGGGACGTGGAATCCAGAGCTCCTTCAGGCCTGCGGAGGCTCCCCCACTTCCACAGGCCTGTGGGGTCAGACAGTCCTGGGGATTCTGGGTGAGCTTCTCACAGTCCCAGATCCACCAGGAGATCAGAGTCTGAAACTTGTGCAGTGGCTTTGGGACCAAGAGCCCTGAGGAGCACAGGCTCTGAATGCACGTGGGGGTGCTTCAGGGGGCCCGGGTATGAGCAGGAACACTGAAAGCCAATGTGGGGGTTCCAGGAATGGAACAGCTGAGCCACTAGGTAGCCCCTAGCCCTTCGGACCACTCACTCAAGGTCACAACTCAGGGGGAGGGGCAGCTCCGGGGTCCTCAGGACCTGGAAAGGGGGGCTTTATCCCCTTTGGAGAGGGGGGAAGCACATGAGTACAAGCTTCCTGAGTCAGCTATCAGCGGACAGAAACACGCCACTGTCTGCTCCTCGCTGGGTGCTGGGTAGCAGGGACAGGACAGTGGACATTCCTCCCGGGGCCTCTGGAGGCAGTGTTGGTATCCTAGACAGTGGGGTGGCCTATGGGGCCTGCATCCACCCTTCCAGCCACAGACTCAGTCCTGTCCTGTGGGGGTGATGCCTCCTGTGCCCTTGTTCAGTTCCCTCCTCCAGCCCATGATGTTAGATCAAGGCCCTCTCTCACGGGTGCAGCATTCCACTGTCCCCATGCTTGCCGCCCAGCTGTGGCAGCTGTAATCACCCACCATGTCCCCACCTCACTCCCCTCCTCCAGCCCATGGTGTCAGCCCGAGGTCCCTGGACTCCCACCTTCCCCACAGGCTCCATGCCTGCTGCATCCCATAGTCCACTGTGCCCCATGTAACACCTCACCCCAGTCTCTATGCCCACCTAAGCCCAGGTCCCATGCCCAACGTGCCTCCATGCCCAGTTCACCACCATGCCCACCTCACTCCCAAGCCCCATGCCCACTTTGTCCCATACTCATCTCACCCACATGCCAACTTCACCTCAGCACCCTGTTCTCACTGTGCTCCTGTGCTCACCTCACCCCACTCCCTCCTCACTCCAGCACTCTGTGCCCACCTTCCTCCATGCCCACCTCACCCAGCACCCTGCACTCACATTCCCCCATGCCCACCTCACCCAACACCCCGTGCCCACTGCACCCCTGCACTCACCTTCCCCCATGCCCACCTCCCCCAGAACCCTGTGCTCACTGAGGCCCTGTATTCATTTACCTTCCCCCATGCCCACCTCCCCCAGCACCCCGTGCCCACTGCACCCCTGCACTCACCTTCCCCATGCCCACCTCACCCAACACCCCATGCCCACCTCACCCAGCACCCTGTGCTCACTGAGGCCCTGTATTCATTTACCTTCCCCCATGCCCACCTCCCCCAGCACCCCGTGCCCACTGAGCCCTGCACTCACCTCCCCCATGCCCACCTCACCCAGTACCCCAC